CCAGCAGCTGCTCCTGAGCAGCCTCCTGCGGAGAACGATGGTCGGCTCCCGACCATCATAGAGGAAACAGAAGAAGATCTGGATGCCTTTGTCTTGAAGTCGTGGTATGCTGAACTGATGGATGACAGAACACTCCTTGAAGCTGACACAGAAGAAGTCATGCATACAGTTCCCACATACATGACAGACACACAGTGTGTGTTAGTCTCTACGACCTGTGAAGATGTGCAAGGCCACTTGCCGGAGCGGGGTCACCCGCCAGGATACGACATGGACACTTCTTACTACGTTCCTTTATGCTCCACGGATCCGGACAGTAAATATGATCTGGACTCCGATGAGCACGGGAAGTACATCGAGCTCTGCTTCACAGCAGACATGTCCAAAGTCGTCCTGTCCGAGCAGCAACACCGATTGTTGGATGACAGCAGCGTCACAACTATGCGAGTATACGTTAGTGCTGCTTCCAAACGTGCCGTGGTCGTCAAGGAAGACGATCTACTCACGAAGGCCGACATTCAAGCAAATCCGGTCAAAGTTTCCAAAGCCCTTACACAGAATTGAAGACTTGGCTTGACAACAAATGCTTCCAGATGACTGACTTGAGCAAAGCGTCTAACATCATGACTTCACGCTACGTATACAAATGGAAGTTTGTCAAGAACGAAAAGGGCGAAATGGAAAGGACGATCAGGTTACGCTTGGTACTCCGTGGCTTCATGGACCTTGAAGCCTTTGATGTCGAAACCTTCTCTGGCACGGCAAGGAGGTCAAGCCAGAGACTGCTCGCAAGTTCTGCTGCATGCAACAAAGCTTGGATCATCGCTTCCCTGGACATCAACATGGCTTTCTTGAAGGGACTGACCTATAGCGAGCTCGCCGCGGCAACGGGCGAGAAAGAGCGTGTGGTGTGCTTCACACTACCTCCTGGGTCAGCAGCTGTCCTTCGCACACTGCCAGGCTTTGAGTCATATGACGAATCAAAGCATTGTCTTCGGTGTCTGAAGCCGGGGACGGGCACGAAGGATGCTCCCAGGGCATTCTCGTTGAAGCTCAGGTCCATCACTAGGAGCTTTGGGCTACAGCCTACTTCATACGACGAAGAGTTCGAGATGAGCCCAAACCTCTTGACAGCCAAACACGTTGATGACATCAATATGACCGGGAAGGAAGATGCTATTGACAAGTATGTCAAGTGTGTTGAAGATACGTTTGGAAAGTGCAAACTGAACAAGCACACATACACAAACTGTGCCGTTCGGTACAACAAGACCGATGATGGGAGCGTCACTCTTGATCAGGACGAATACATCAAACAGCTTCGTCCTATCACACATCCAGAACTCACAGGAGCTGATCCTGAGAGCAAAGCGACAAAGACGATTTCTGATATGTTCGTCAGTCTTCGTGGCGCTCTAGCCTATGCGTTGATCACGCAGGTATGGCTGATGGTCTATGTTGTCTCACTACAACGTATCCAGGAACCGACAAACATCCAGGTACGACGACTAAACGCGGTTACCAGGAAACTACAGGCAGGTCCGAAGAAGATCGTGTATCAAGCTATGACCCCAACAGGAGAAGTCGACCTGCATAGCGATTCTGGCTATCGTCGTCTCAACGGAGATGAAGACGACGAAGTCAAAGGCTATGGTATCCGCGGGGCTAACCTGCTGAGGCGTGGCCACACGCAAGCGGGGAAACCCGTCGTGCACCTGGTGGACGCATACTGCAAGTCTCATCGACTGCAGGTGCGTTCGAGCTACTCTGCGGAAGCACTGGCAGCAGCCCACAACTTGGAAGACTGCTACCCGACCATTGTAACGCTCCACGAGCTACACTCGGGACCATTGACCCCCACACAGTTAAAGAACATATTGGAAATGGGTGGTCTATGTATCAAAGTCACTCTGACTATTGATGCCGAGTCTGTCTTCAAGTCTTTGTCTAGCAAAGATCTGAAGAAGCCCACAGAATGTACTCTGCTTGGGCACATTAGCTGGATCCGCCAGATGATGGAGCGCGGAATCGTTGAAAGCGTTCAATGGTGTGACACGCGGGATATGACTGCCGATGGTCATACCAAAGGTAGTTTTGACCGCGCGTTGCTCCTACAAGTAATGGCCGGCCAGCAATCCTTCAAGCACGAGCTGAAGAAACATACTCCGTATAGGGCGGGCAGGTCGTCTCAGGACGGCCCTGCCTCCCGAGCTAGCGGGGAAACCCGCATGCAGGTGCGCTCTAGTAGCGAGGAAACTCGCCGGTAGCGAGGCTACTCGCGCGCCCTTGCCTTGTAGGCAGCCGCTGCTGCTTAGCACTGTTTTTCCGCGTAATGTAGAAGTGCGGTGCCTGCTCGTCTCCTCCCCCTCCGACTTTAAACGGAGAAGGTTAAAGGCGAGGTATAAATCGAGCATGTACCGCTGCCGTGCCTGGCTCAAGCCGGGCCCGGCCAAATATATGACTGTGCCTCACCGACGCGCACGACTGGTATCTGAGATCGGAAAATACCTTTTCCATTGAAGATGCCCCTTCTATCCTTTACTCCAGATCCCATGCTTCGTCTCGCTCTCTTGCTCATGCGATATGAGCCAAAGCCTGGGATATGGCAACGCTTGAAGCGTAACACATACCTAAGCGTACCAGCATGTTTTCGACTGGCATATGCAGGGCTGCCCACAGCGCGAGGCTTAGGTTACCGGCCGGCCCCCTCCTCCTCCTCCTCCTCCTCCCCCCCCGCGATAACCCGGGTTATCGCCGATTCAAAAAATATCGGTCTCTTACCACCCCAGTTGGGGATATAATTACCCCTCGAAACCCGAAGGGGGCGGCCTATATCCCCATCTAGGGGCGTAAATCGTCCAGTGGGGCCCAGGCCACGCCGCCGGGGATGGGAATCGGTTGAACGATACTCAGGACGGGGGCCAGCACAGAGCCAAGAGACCCGCGCGCACCGTCGAACGATCACTGAAGTCAAGCACGTTTTGAAGAAGGAATATCGCCATAAACATAAACTGTTGGCGCTCCGCGCGGATTTCTTGGATCCGCGCTGGGGCCCCCCAGGCGGCGCCTCCGGCGCCGCCCCTGGCGCGCTCCGCGCGCCAGGGGGGGGGCCCAGCGCAGGTCCAAGAAATCCGCGGGGAGCGCCAAAGTTTATGTTTGTGCAGTTGTTTCTTCTTTTCGTTTCGTGAGCGTTTTCTTGATTCATTCTTTTGCAGATCGGCGCGGGCCCTCGCACCCCCCTCCCCCCCCCCGTGGAGTAGAGCTTGGCTGCTTTTGGCGCCTGTTTCGAGCAGTTGGGATTTCCCCCATAGGACGCACGGTCCCAAACAACCGCACTAAGCAGAGGTCCGGAGCCAGACCCACCCCCCTCTTTCCTTTCGCCCAATGTCGAAACGCCGAATAAAAAAACGCACGTTTCCCTGAAGGCAAGAATTGTGGTTGAGAGCGCCTCGTGTTGTTTGTGCAGTGTTCCTCGGGTCACACGGGGCCGTCGTCGTCGTCGCTGTCGTCGTCGTCGTCGTCGTCGTCGTCGTTTTGAGTGTTATTTCTGAGTTCATGGAGTTTCTCGTCGCCACGGCCGGGCGCTTCCTTAGAAATGGACCTGCGACGACCCAGCAGGGCCCTACGACGACCCAAAACGCCTCACAGTCAAGGCAGATCCAGATTCACCATCAGGCCTGGTCAGGGCCCCCGGATGGAACATATGCCCTCCTCGTCCCTGCAACTCGTACACACCATGCCAGGGCCCACGACGGCCCCGGTCAGGCGCAGCGTTGATACGCAGGTGAGCGACGGATCGGCGTCACCCCAGCATGCTTATACTATGTGTGCGTCGCCCCCCAGGGGCGACGCGCGCACCGAGAGATCTTCTAGTATGTGCGTCGTGGCGGGCGCTTTCTGGCCACACCTCTCGGGAACCGATGTACTACAAGATGGGTATACTATATGTTGGGGTCGGACGCGCGCCGCCAAGGCGGACATGTAGTATTAGAATGTATCTGTGCGTCCCAGCGGAGGGAAAGTGGGTCGACTGTGGCGATACTCGCGGGTGCGTTTCGCGCGCGATGATGCGTTGAAGCGCCCTCTTCGCCACGCGGTGTGCCACACTGGCGGCCCGCCCAAACCCCGCGGCGTTGGGTCGCCGTGCTTTCTCGCGCATGACCCGCTCGTTTTTTCGGCGGCGGGCCCGGGGCAAAGTGAGACGGGCCGTAGACGCCCTAACGGTGTGTTAGCTAACGGCGAAGTAGGACAACCAATTGTAGGAATGGTTCGTGGCCAAATCACTTGTAGGAACGCATGGTTCGTGTTTTCCTACAACTTGCTGTGTCGTCTTCGTTCGATACATTCGCATATTCAAAAAGTAGGAAACTGTGCTGTGTGATTCTCTACGTTTTGTTTTACGTGAGACCGGAGTCACCAAAACACTATTCCCAACCGCACCATTAACCAAGCACGCCGTCAGCGCGGCCTTGGACGGGGCGGGCCTTCTCTGAAGGCTCGGCAGACCTCCAGCCTTCCGGCAAGTTTCTAAGCTTCCCCGGGACACACACACACACACACACACACACACACACACACCACACATTTTCTCGGAAGGCTGGAGGGCTTCGCCGCCTGCTGAGAAGGCTTGTTTATTTTCATTTTCCCCTCAGGATCGCCGCCTAGTTTCTTCGATCGGGCGCCTTCTGCGCATTCCCCCACCGCTTTCCGAGGGCCCCGCCTCTGCGCGGTGCCGGGGGCAGGCGGGGCGAATGTCTGCCCGCACGCCTCGGTAGCAACCCGCACGCGCCCATTTTCCGACGCTGCGTGTGCGAGATTCGGCGGCGAAATCCGAGCTTTGCCTTCGCCGATCAATAATTCAGGCGACTCGATGGGCGGCTCGGGTATAGGGTTCGGACTTCGTCGAACACGTGGCGAAATCCTGACCCCACCCCCGCCCCCCATCGATTCGGGAGAATCGAGGGTTGGTGTTGTCAGGGCTCGGATGCCACCACCTGGAGGTGGAGCTCAAACAGTCGCAGGACAGCATCCAGTCACAGCTGCAGCACATGGACGACGTCCGCGTCCAGATCGACCAGGACCCCCCCCCAAGACGCTCGCGGGGGGCGGCCCTCCGAGGAGGAGGCTGGTCAGGCAGGGTCAGGGCCGGGAGATGCCTCGTTCCCGGGCGTGCCAGGGACGCCCTCGCAGCGCTCCGGGCTCCGGAGCGGCCGCGGCGCCCGAGACGTATGTACACATTGTTCGCTTCTAGTTCTTCGAGAGCTTTTTTTTTGGGGGGGGGGGCCCAAGATCCTTTCATTTCTAATTCTTCTCTCCTTGGTCTCTTCCTAGCCACTAGGGGGCCAGGAACAATTAGAAACGAGCACACTTAGAAATGAGCACGATTAGAAATGAACGACGTATACCCTTCAGATCCGACGAACATCCGAGGTCCCCGATGTGTTCAAGCAGTGGCGAAGCGTCCTGGCTCGCCTATAAACAATGTTCTGAGAACATATTGTGGTTTTCACGAAATGTTCTCAGAACATATCTGGCTGGGGCTGTCTTGTTTGAACACATCGGGTTCATGTTCTGAGAACATTGTTGTTGCTCATAGAACTTTTTCGGTTCTAAGAAAATTTCGTGGTAGGCCTTTAAAAATGCCCGGACGGTCGGTCCCTGCTCGATGTGTCCCGGTCCGATGTCGTCCATCCCCTCCCGGCCTCGCCTTGGTCGGGCGGAGCTGCGAGTTCAGCTTCGCCTCTGCGCTTTGCTCGGGGGCGGCCGAGAGGGGGTGATGACCAGGGGGTGGTGGATATCATTGCGGGGTTCATGACGTTTCCTTTGATTTCATGGCGCCTCTTCTTATTTCAATACGTCCCTGGCCCCCCCCCCTGGGCCGCGCACATACCGCCGGCCATGATTTGCGCCCCCCTCTTGGACGCCCCCTCTTTGCCGCCACCGGCTCAGTCGGGCGGAGCTGGGAGTTTAGCTTCGCCTCTGCGCTTCGCGTGCTTCCTCCGCATCACCTCCGAGCATGAACCTCTCTGGCCAGCTTCGTGTGTCCAGGGTCTCAGAAGCGCTCTGAGAAACGGCAGGCCCGTACGAGTTGGGGCCTAACATGCTTCGACTGATGTGCCCGAGGAGCGGAAGTAGTCGGTTTCGAGCCCCCACACCTCGTCGGGCAGGCCTAGGACAGGGATAGATCGTTCCGGAGCGTTTCATAACACTCTCAGAGTGTTCTGGAACGCTCCGAGAAGGCAGCGGCGCCCGATACATCCACCAGAACCGCGGGCTCTCAGGGATCCCCGATTTATCCCTGTCCGTTCTTGTCTTTGCCCTGGCCTCGTCTTACCTCGAGCAAGCGAACATGAGCTCCGTGTGGGGAGCGGGGGGGTAGGGTCCTCAGGATTGTACTTAGCACTGCCTCCTAGCGCCGGCGAGCGGCGCCCTTGACCAGCACCCTGCAGCGCGAGGAGTTTTGCGGCAGCCGCTCCTCTAAGTAGCAGGATCCGTCCGTTGTTGGCTCGTCGTTCCATCCTCCCCACCCCTTCCCTAAAGTTCAATCCTCCCTACCCCTTCCCTACAGGGCCCCCTAACCGGTGTGGTGACCAAACCGCGTGGTGAGTCAGTGGGGATTCAGGGTCACCGCACGGTTTTGGGACTCGGGTTGTTCGCCGAGGACGTCTCGGGCGACTGGGTCCGCCGAGTTCTTCGGCCCGTGCGGTGACGGACCGCGCGGTGAGGTCGGCGGTGACGAACCATGCGGTCCGACACCACACGGTTTCGGGGCCCCGAATCATGTACGTCCACAGGAAACAACAAGTAAGTCACGAACACACCACCACCGTACCGTGCCTGGCCAGGGCAATCCTATGCCTGGCATTGTCTAAGCGCCCTCCTGGTCCACGGCCTGGAGGGCGCATACCGCACCGTGAGGCCCAGGGCGGTCGTGTATCAGCGCCTTCTGCGGATCCCCATTCCCCGCATCCAGGAGCTGGAGCAGCTCGAGGAGCGGAAGAAGCAGCTCAGGATGGCCCGTGCCCGCCCGCGTCCTCAGCTGCCGCCCGCCAGCCCCTCTCTTGCTCCCCTTTCTGAGTCGAGGTGGGGCAGCGCGCGCGCCGGACTGTGGGGCTGCATCCCGAGTGGCAGTGCCTGCTCTGTCGAGGTGGGGTCGGTGGCCAACGACTGTCCCACGATAGTCCGTCCGGTGGAGGCGAGACCGTGGTTTTCTCGTGACTGTGAAGGCCTGACGGCTGGTGCCGCCGACCCTGAAAGACATCGACGACGACCAGGAGGGGGAGGAGGAGGAGACGCAGGAGGAGGAGGAGGAGGTGGAGATAAGGAGGAGGAGGAGGAGGAGAAGGAGGAGGAAAAGGGGCGCGAGACCGTGGTTTTCTCGTGGTTCGATTGAGCTTGACAGTGACCAGAGTTAGCGCTTTTGGCGACCGTTTCTCGGCGCCAGGAAGGAAGGGAGAGCTGCTTCTGCAGCGGGCCGCACACCTCAGAGAAGCAGACGGGGGGGTCGTGCGTTGGAGCGGGTGCGGGAGTCAAGCAGTGGCGAAGCGTCCCCTCTGCCTATAGTCCTACCAAACAATGTTCTGAGAACCTTCTGTGGTTTCCACGAAATGTTCTTAGAACACTGTTTTTGTCCTTAGAACATCTTCGGGTTCTAAGAACATTCCGTGGTAGGGCTAAAGGAATGCCGGGACGGTCGGCCCTTGCTGAAGGGAGGGAGAGCGGGGAGCCGGCGCTGGGGCCCTGTCACAATCGTAAGTCTGCGGCATGGTCATGAACAGTATATCAACACCACAGCGTCGTGTCGACCAGCGACGACCTCGCCGCCGGCGTTCGACGTTGAACGCCGCTGGCGAACCAGAATTGGGAATTGGTCGACGTTGAACGATCTGACGTTTCGGAAGCGGCCGATCGTTCAAAGTTGAACGATCTCCGCGGTGTCAGAAGCCAACGCCGAAGTCGGCACGACACAAACTTGCCGAGAAACGTCCTGTGTTGATGCCTCTGCCGCCCAGCCCTCTCACCGACGAGGAGGTTCCTTCACTCCCTGCTCCTGCCTCCTCCTCCGCCTCCTCCTCGTCCAGCTCCACCTCCTACTCCTCCTCCTCCTGTCCCTCCCCCTCCTCCCTCTCTCCGTCCTCCGCCTCCAACACCAACAGCCCTTGGTTGCGAGAAGGGGAGGGACCTCGTGCAACCACCACGGCGCCCAGCACACAGGAGCATCAACATGTGGGTTTTGAGACGAAGCGTTTCCCAAGCTGGCCGGGCCTTTCCCAGTACGACGCTTTGCCGAATATCATCCACGGGCAGTCCGCCGAATTGAAAGGGCGCTTCGCTTTGCACGAAGCTGGACTGCCGCAACGTCGGTTACCGCTTCGCTACACAGTGCCAGTCGTTCGCAAGTTGGCCAGTTTTTTTCGCAACGCGGGGCCAGTGTGGTGGCGCTGGAAAAGGAGGACGGCGGTGTCTGGCCGATCGCAGTCGGCGGGGTGCTCCGCCGCCTCACGAGCAAGGTCCTCTGTGAACGCTAGAAGGGCAGGGCCCGGCAGACGTTGTGGCCACTGCAGACTGGTTGTTGCAGCCCGCTGGGTGCGAGGGCAACCGTGCACGCCGTGCGCCCGTGGTGCGAGCGCAACAGCTCTCCTGGCAACAAGGTTCTGCTCAAGCTGGACTGCGCGAGCCTTTAACACGTTGCGGCGTGGCGAGGTATTGCGCGCCGTCGGCGACCGACTCCCCGCGCTGGGACGGTGGGCGCGTTGGACGTACGCAGAACACTCGCACCTGCGGTTCGGCAAGGACTCGGTGTCTTCCCAAGCTGGCGTCCAGCAGGGCGATCCACTGGGGCCCTTGTTCTTCTCCCTGGCTGTGCACCCAGTGCTGGAGGAACTGGCCAGAGACCAGGAGCTGGACCTGAAAGCCTTCTACCTGGACGACGGCTCCTGGGCAGGCACAGCGGAGGCGGTGGCGCGGGCAATGGCTGCCTTGCAACTCCGCTGCTCAGCGTTTGGGCTTGCACTGAACTTGGGTAAGTGCGAGCTCGTGGTCCAAGCAGGCAGACGCCAGACGGCCTGGATCGACTCTTCCTTGCGCCACTGCTGACGGACCCTGACGCTGGCGCCAGCCGAGAAGTCCTGAGAGGCGGCTTCCGGCTTCTCGGCGCACCGATAGGGACCAGTCCTTCACGGAGGCCTTCACAGAGCGGCGCTCTGCCAAGGCGGGGCCGACCCTGGCGGCGTTGGAAACCTTGCACCCGCAGGTGGCCCTCCTATTGCTGCGGCGCTGCGCGAGCTTTTGCAAGCTCGTCTACAGCGCACGCACCGCGCCGCCAGAGCTGCAGGCTGGCGCCCTCCGAGGAGGCTACGACGCCGCGCAGCGGGGTGCGCTTGGGTGTCTGCTGGCCGCGGATTTGACGGACGCCCAGTGGCACCAGGCCTCCCGGGGGCTGGCGTGCGCCGGCCTGGGCCTGCGGCGACTGAAGGCGCACGCGGCGGGCGCGTACCTGGCCAGCCTCGGCGCCACGCGGCGTCTGTGCTCGGAGCTGGACTCGGCGTACATCTGGCCCTGACGGTGTGGAGACGTCGTGGCAGAATGACCTCTCTGCTGCGCTTGACGACCGCTGCCACCAGCTCTTCTTCGAGAACCTCGGGGCAGCCGGCCGCGCGGACATCATGTCCGAGATGCTCCTTGGCGCGCCGGGCTTCATGGAGGTCGAAACAAACGAGAACTTGGGGCTGCTCTTCGAGCCGGAAGGGTTCCTCGCTGAGCTGCGGAGGCGGCTTCTGCTCCAGGTCTATGACAGGGACAATTTCGGCCTTTGCTGCGATGAGCCTTGCGACCGGCACGGGCGCCACGCTGTCCTCTGCGCTGGCGCGGGAGGTTGGGTGTGCCGGCACAACGCCGCGCGCAACCTGGTAGGGCGAGTCGCCGCCGCAGCCTGCTGCAACCCAGAGCTGGAGAGGCCGGGGGTCTTGCCACCTCGCCCAAACGACGACCGCGCCTGCGGCCGTCGCCCCGACGACGTGTGCATCCCGAGCTGGAACCTAGGCGCGCCTGCCGCCTTCGACGTCGCGGGTTCCTCTCCGCGCCGGCAGGCTGCCAGGGGGCTGGCCGTCCAAAGGATTGGATGCGCCGCAAGCGCGCGAGGTGGTCAAGCGCACCCACCTCGACACGGAGGCCCTCTGCAGGCAACAGGGGGTTTTCTTCATCCTTTTGGTCGCAGAGCCTAGTTACGGGCGGGTTGGGCCCGACGGCGGCCGAGACGTTCCGCCGCCTAGCACGGGCCAATGACGCGTGCCTGGGCGAGGGGCCGGGCGCAGGAGCGACGCGTCTCTTCTGGCAGTTGCCGGTGGCTATCCCGAGGGTTTCCGCCCGCGCCGTCTTCAGGCGTCACCTGGAGGAAGTCCCTGCCGAGGGAGCGGCCGCAGCTGCCCGGGACGTCTTCGCCGAGGAAGACGAGGGTTTTTTGTGGGCGCCCTTTTCTCCTCCCTCCTCCCCCCCCGCCGCCTCCTGGAGGGGTGCTGTGTTCTTTGGCGCCCATGTACAGTGTAATTCACCTTCCCGCCCGAGTTCGGGCAGCTAGATTGCACTTCGAATTTTTCCGCCTATATAGCGATCCCTTCTGCTGTCGCCTTCTTCGTTCGTCATCGTCGTCCGTCGTTCGCCTCTTCCGCTTATCTCGCCTTTCCGGCTTCTCCTCCGCCGTTGGCGTCTCCTCCACTCTTCGGGGGGCTGTACCTTGCGGCGGGTTGGTGAACGGTGCGCTCTCTGCTCCCGCTTGCGGAAGTTGGGGCGCTCGCCGATCGCCTCTCGTTGCTTGGCATGGCCCCCTGCTCGCCCTCGTGCCCCTCGGCCTCCCCCCGTCGTTGCTTTTTGTCGACGGATCGACTCGCGCCAGATCGGCACTGACGGCGTCACCCTGATAAGGATCAGATTTCGCTTCTCGGCTTGAAAAGGGGTTCTGCTGGTGGCGGAAGTGGCAATGCGTCGTGGCGCCCTTCGGGAAGCCGAAAAAGGACGTAGCGCCACCCAGCTGGACGTTATGCTACTGATCGAGGCCAACATGTTCCTGACAGGCCGGCCCATTCTCTGCGCGGCACTGTTCTTTATTAGCCTGGGGAAGGCCTTTTCAGCATTGGGCGCCCTGTCTCAATAGATGCAATGTTGACGTGCATTTTGGACGCCTTGACGTCCGCTCGCTGGGATCTCCAGGGGGAAGGGCGTCCAGACCCAGGGGATGTGGTAGGGGCGGGGGGCAGAAACAGGTTGGAACAGCTAGATCGACTGGTGGGGTTACGGGGTTTAAGTTACCGTCGGTCGGCCGCCCGTCGGGGCCCAACCCCCCCACGCGCCCGACGGGCTCTCCCATCCGACCCGTCCGCTGGCGTCCGCTCCTTGCTTGAACGCCCGTCTCATCGGCGGCGAGCGAGGGGGGGGGACGTGAGAAGGAGGAGGTTTCTTCAGAAGGCGGCGAGGCTTGTCGGAAGCCCTCAGGCCTTCCAAGAAGGTTTCTGTGTCTTCGGGGAAGGCTTGGGCAGCTTCCCTCAGCAGGTCGGAGAACTTCCGTGCTTCCTGGGAATCGGGCGGGTGGTAATGGGGGGTGACGGGGCGAAGACAAGGGCCCCACAGGGGCTCTTCGAGGTTTGTCCAGCGCCAATTCGGAGGATCGCGCCACATCGCCGCTGCAGCGGCGATGCAGCTCGACGCGGGGCCGATGCACCGCCGACGTCGCCGATGCATCGCCGCTGCATCGGCGATTGGGCGTGATCTTCCGACCTCATCTACTCCGACCCCATCTAGGAGGCATCTAATTCATGGAGAAATGCGCCCTTTTCGGGACCTGAAAACCTCCGTTGGGGCCCGAGATGGTCCCTTCAGGGGGAGCCCTAAAGGGTAGCCCTTTTCTGTCCCCCCATACTATCGCCCCCCCATAAATTCGAGCCCAACGTCTGTCTGGGCCTCTCCCAGAGGGGCGACGAAAAAGAACGGGTTCGTCTTCACAGACGTTCGCGCGTGAGTTGCTGGCATGAGGTCGCGCGTGAGCGCCCTCGCTTCCAGTGTGGCGTGCCGCGCTGGCAGCCCGCGTTAGCTGCCGCGTAAGGTCGCCTCGTCATCTCGCGTAAGACCCGTCTCTTTCCCTCCCCTACCCCCCTTTTTGTTCGCGCGCCGCCAAGTCCAGGCCTCTCCCAGATGGGAGCGGAGCAGACGGGGTCGGAGTATCGCGCGACCGCGCCGCACCGCCGATGCAGTGGCAATGCGGCTCGATGTGCAGCCCGTTGTGCTCCACGCTGACGCCACCAATGCGTCGCCGACGTCTCCGATGCATCGCCGATGCATCGACGATGCAGTCGAAACCGATGGGAAGATTGGGTAACCTTCCCAAGGGTAACTACCCTTGCATCCGTGCGTCTCGGGTCCATCCTCAGACACTTTCGATGGCCCGCCGCGTTTGAAAAGCCTTAACAGGGGCGTCCCCAGGGGCCTGCATCCTTGCCGCGCATCCGTAGTATCCGTTCTGACTGTACGGCGCGAGCTTCCGACCCCATCTGCTCCGACCCATCTGGGGTTCTGGTCCGTCCGCCCCGCCGGCCTTCTCTCAGGCGTCGGGCCGGCCTGCTGCCAAGCCGATGGTCCTTGCTCGACTCCAGCCCGGTCTCTTCTTCCAAGTTTCAGCCACGCACAGGGGGGGGGGTAATTAGGGGGTGAGTGGGGAAGGTTTCTTCGAAGCACCCCTGCTTCTTCGAAGGCGCGGACCTTGTCTATAGATGTAAGTCGGCGCTTTTAAAGAAGCAGCCTCCTCTTACGATGATTTCTCCCTCTCCACACCCCCTTTGCGCGTCGCCTCTTCTAAGCTTTTCTGGGCGCAGCATCGAACCACAACCACAACCGCATGGATTGTTCTGGTGGGCCCCTCGGGGGAGAACCCGCCGACCTCGACTTGAGTACCTTTGGTTGTGGTTGTGGCCGATTTGGCTGTCCTGGGACGTCGCATCGGCCACACCCAGCACTGAGCTGGCGTTGGTGTTCTGACGACTGTTGGCATGCGCAGGACATCCCCCAGGGTGTGCCCTCGATGTGGTCGTGGTCCCTGGCTGTCCCCGCAAAGTTGGCCCGCCTTTTTTCATTGCGGGACTTACCCGTCCCACATCGAGCAGTGTTTTGTTCAAAGGAGGAGACCAGCCTTCGCAGGATGGATCGGGGAAACATCTCAGTCGGACTGGCCTCTACCAATTGGCGCGGCCTTCTCCCCAAATGAGCGATGAAGCGCGCTATTTGGAACCCGTGGCATGGCTTGTAGACAAACCCCACTTGGGCTGGACCTCACGGGTGACACCACGAAACGCAGCAAGTAAAGCAGTTACCGGCGGGACCCAATTGGTTGGACCCTGAAACACCATCGCGATGTGCGTTTGTGCGTTTCTTTAAACGTGCATATGGGCAGGGCACTTCACCCAGATGAGGAAGATATGCCAATACCGCTGCTCGTACTGGAGGGTCTGCTCGGAATGATGGTCAGAACGCACCCCGGGAGAGGTCCCAGCAGTAGCAGTAGTTGTCCCCTTTTATCCCCCTATTCACGCGCAGTAATGGCCCTTGCCGGGATGAGGGAGAGGAGGAGTTGGCCGATGTTAATGGATGATCACCTGGCGAAGTTTCGATGCACATTTCCAGACACGCCTTCGTGCTGTCGCTGGCAATGCCGCTCTGATCATCCCTTGTCCTCCATGTAAGCATCCACTCGTACGCATGAGCGGTGTGTCACATTTGAGTGTCTGAGCATATTTCTAGTTGCCTTGTTGTGCGATGGACGCTGGTAAAAGCCCCAGGCAACAGAGAAAAAGAGGAGATGAGGGAGAGGGGAGGGCGGGGAGCGTGGAGAGGAGATGAGACATGGGGGAAAGTAGGAGAGGGTACATGAGAATCTGGGGCAGAGTCAGGCCATGGCTTCGGGATGTGGATTGGATGCGTGTGCGGTTGGTCACACGGGATGTGCGGGGAGAGGCCACGCTGCGCCCAGGATAGAATTGGACAACGTGCCGAGGCCTCAGTGTTGCACGGGGGACCTGAGGTACTTGCAGAAAGAGGCATGCAATAGTTTGATTTTTGATGTCTCCTCACACCTTCAGGCCACGAAAGGAGTTGTGTGTCGGATGGGGGTTGTTTCAAGAGTTAAGCAAGACTGGCGCGTGGACCACGAGCACCGAACGGCCTTCCACGACAAGAGCACGGTTGATGCCGTGTGCGACGTGCAGGGTATTGGGAACGGCTTGTGTCCGTGTCCCACAGTGCGACGCCGATCAGCTCGTCCCCAATCGAGTTCTTTCGGGAAACGACGGAGTTACATGAACATGCACTTTCGGAGGTCCGCGCAGATGTCCCAGATCGGCGCTGGGGCCCCCTGGCGGCGCCTCCGGGGACGCCCCCTGCGCGCTCCGCGCGGCAGGGAGGGGCGTCCAGCGCCGATCCGAGCAATCCGCGCGGAGCTCGGAGATACGCAGTTTCTTGCGTCTCTCTCGCTGCTCCCCCCTCGTGTCCCTTGCTGCGGCCTGGTGTGCGGGCACTACTTACATCCTATAGATCTATATATACACACCTATATATATATATATATATATCCAGTGCGTCTTGGACTGTCTTGGAAGGGACGCCGCGAGGCCGAGGCGCACCGAATATGGATAAACTCTAGCTTTTCTGGTGCCAGATTTTGATCCATGTGCAGTGCGCCTCTTGCTTTTGGGAGAGAGAGCCCGAGCCTCCAAGACGCACTGGATGTGGATATGGACATTGCCCGCGTGGTGGTCGCGCCACAGGGGCGGCACAGGCCTGGGGGAGGCCGTCTGGCCCGAGAGGAGCCCCCCTGGCGCGGCCCCCCCCCCACAGCCGATCGCCTGCGGCTCTCAACCCGCGCCCGCACACCCCGCCCGCCCCGCGCCGCGCGCCACGAAACGTCTCCCCTCTCCCTCTTCCCCGGAGCGTCTCCCCCCTCCTTCCCCTCCTCGCCCTCTCGCTCCCCTCCTTGCTGCTTTCCCCACGCTTGTACGTTTGTGTTGTTTCATCTGCGCTCCCCCCGCGCAGTCCTCACACGCCTCACCTTAGGCACCATTTCTCCTCCTCCTCCTCCTCCTCCTCCTCCTCCTCCTCCTCCTCCTCCTCGGTCCACGCGGCCGACCTGCCCGCGACGCTCCCCGCCATTTCGCAGAGGGCACCAACTATACATTCACCTTCCTGGCCAGGCCAATCCTGGGCCCAGGATCGGTGTATATGATCGCGGGCTCCGGGCCCACGGGCCCCCGCCCCCCCCCCCCTGGATGGGATGTGTGCCAGGGTCCTCGGGCCTCCCCCCCCCCCCTCCCAGATGGGATGGGGGGGAGGAGAGGAGGAGGAGGAGGGAGGAGGAGGAGGAGAGGAGGAGGAGGAGGAGGAGGGGAGGAGGAGAGGCGGAGGAGGACAGGAGGAGGAGGAGGAGGAGAGGAGGAGGAGGAGGACGACGACGACGACGGCGACGACGACGACGACGGACGACGGACGACGGCGGACGACGACGACGGACGACGACGACGACGACGACAACGCCGACGACGGACGACGACGACAACGACGACGTCGACGGCACCGGCGGCGGCGGCGGCGACGACGTTGACACCGGAGCTTTCCGAAAGCACGTCAGCATGACGCCACAATCACAGCCACACGCACACCCACACCACACCCACAGGGGGGGAGGGGGGGGAGGACATTGGGTCACCCCACACACACCCACAGCAACACACCACACCCACACCACATCCACAGGGGGAGGGCGTGGGGGGATCATCGCGCGGGGGGGGATGGGGGGGCCGATGGCATTAGCATTGGGGGGGGGCCCAAACCCTCGACCATATATGCCTTCCTGCCCTGGGGAGAAGGCGTATACACCCATCCTGGGCCCAGGGCCATCCTGGCCAGGATCAGTGTTGGTGTATAGTTGGTGCCCTCCTAAATCCTTCCCGCGACCGGTTCGCGGCCCTCGATCCGCGCCCACGCGGCCCGCCCGCCCCGCGACGCGCGCCGCTCGACCCACGCGCCCGCACAACCCGCGGCCGACCTGCCCGCGACGCTCTCCGCCGCTCCCGCCTGCGACCGGCTCGCTCGTGAGAGAGCCACCTCCTCCTCCTCCTGCTCCTCCTCCTCCTCCTGCTCCTCCTCCTCCTCCTCCTCCTCCCCCTCCTCCTCCTCCCCCTCATCCCCCTCCTTCTCCACCATCTCCTCCTCCCCCTCCCCCTCCCCCCTCCTCCCCCTCCTCCTCCCTCGTCCTCCTCCCCTCCCCCTCCTCCTTCCTCCTCCTTCTCCTCCTCCCCTCCTCCTCCTCCTCCTCCTCCTCCCTCCTCCTCCTCCCCTCCCCCCTTCCCCCTCCTCCTTCTCCCCCCCTCCTTCTCCTCCTCCTCCTCCTTCTCCTCCTCCTCCTCCTCCTCGGGTCGATCGCCTACGGCTCCGGGGGAAACCGTGCACAGAGAGAGCCAGAGAGTCGGAGCGGCTGGCTGGGGCCTGGTTTCGGCCCTCGGGGGCCCTCAACGGGCCCCAGGACCGTCATACAAGCTATCGGGGCTCAAGAGACGGGGGGTCCATACAAACGGGGGGCAGTCAGAGCGCCGGACCTAACGGGATCCTGCCGGGGCCAGGGTTGCATTGACCGGGGCTTGGGTGCAGGATCCTGCAGGATCCGGCGGGATCTTGCAGTTTCTCGCATGGCCTGACTGACCCGCGTCTGGATTGACTCGGGTCAGAAAATCCCCGAAACTACCCAGGACGAGAAATCAGCCCCAGGGAAGTGGTCCAGACCTCAAGGGGTCTACGCACCGAGAAGATTGAGGCGCCAGATGTCTGGTGTCGGTGACGACGACGTCGACGTCGTCGTCTCGGATTTTTTGGCGCCACTGGAGGCTCTCGTCGCCAGAGCCGGACGCGGCTCGCGTCCAGCTGTGGCGACGCGGACCCCCCCCCACCCACACACACACACACACTCACACACACACACACACACACACGCACACGCACACGCACACGCACACGCACACGCACGCACGCACACACGCACACACGCGTGCACACACACACGTGCACACGCACACACCTCACACACAAACGCACACACACACACACACACACACACGCGCGCACACACACACGCGCGCGCACACACAACACACACACACGCACGCAACACACACACACACACATACGCACACGCACACACACATACACCACACACAATACACACGTAAACAACACATAACATCACAACCATGCTCCCCCTCACAAAAACACACACACACACGCCAACCCGCCCAATCATGATCAACTCATCCTCCACCTTCTCCTCTGCATAGGCCTTGACGTATGTCTGAACATGCGAACTGGCCTTCTCCGCAGGCTTCCGACGGTGCCCGTTGCGCTACAGCCCCCCGCCCTACCCGCCACCCGCGCACGCAACACCCTGCCCCCCCCCCGCCCCCCCCAAACCACACATACAGCACAGCACAACACAGCACAAACAACACAACACAACACAACACAGCACAACACAACACAGCCCATCACATCGCATCACAATACAGCAACATCACACAACACAGCTCAAGGGATGAAAAAACAGCCATTCCGGACAATTGGCGCTTACTAAACGGCCCTGAGCGTTTACTAAACAGCCTTGCCCTGTTCGATTTCTTCTTTGGGCGCTTTTACTAAACGACTTCGCGTGTCGGGGTGGTTATTATGGGGGAGTATGTCTTGACCTCTAACTGCACAACACGACACAACAAACAACACACACACACACACACACCCAGCAAGCGAAACCAGTTGGACGCGGCTCGCAAAGCGATAGAAAGGAGGGAGCCCGGGAGGGGTCCGTGGAAGTGGTTGTGGGCAGATGCTGGTCGCACGGCGTCGGATGCTTCAATTTCTGCCATATGTTGTTCACCGATCTCGTTCCACGAGTTACAGGTGATCGTTTTCTTCTGCATTGTTCTGCCGATTGGCGCGGGCCCTCGCCCCCCCCCCTCCCCCATGGAGTAGATCTTGGCTGCTTTAGGCGCTTGCTTCACACAGGTGGAGTCACCCCCATAGGACGCACTGTAGGACCCAGTCGCGTTAAGCAGAGGTCCAGAGCCAGACCCCGCCCCTCTCCCCCCCGTCCGCCCAATGTCCAGTCGGACCGAGGTATTTGATCGAGGTTGGTTCGGGAAGGTTGCCCTAGTGTTCTTCGCGTTGGTTGGATGTCCTTGTGCGTCTAAGAAAAAGCTTACCTCGGTGTAGAGATCCTCTGTGGCGAATCCAGGCCATTTGCGATTAGTTACTGTGCGAGTAGTGGAACGCCCCTGTCTATTGTGTGGCATTTGTTCTCACCCGTCGCCTTCCATGCTCTGAAGCATGGCCCCGAACGTTAGATGTTGTTTGTCCTATATGTGCCCGTGGTCCTTTCGTTTCACGCGGTCGCGCTCGTACACGTAGATGCATTTGGTCTTCTAGTAACTGCGCAGTTGAAGAGGCCCGGCCAGTTCGTCTGTGTTTGATTGCGTCCCATTCTTGGCTCCCAGCCTGGCAGCTCAGGTGCCTCTTCGGATCTCCTTATCCGTATACGCGGTTGTGGTTGGAGATAGCGGAGTCGGTGGTTATGGGCACATGGTGCAACGATCGGAGAGTTTCTTCGTGGAGCGACACCCAAAGCAAGATAGCATGTTTATGTGCGAAGCCCGAGCTCTCTGGATGAGGTCCAACGCATGCGTAGGTGTACGCTACTGCGTGTCCGCTGCGGCAGAACTATCTCTACCCCACCGAGACTCCCGGCGCCGCATTGTTGTTACCGCGTGGCCCCCAGAGGTCTCGACCCCTTGCCCGAGGCTGGCTCATCATCCTGATCTTAGTGAGTCGACGGCCCTGGCGCTCAGCACGGGACCCTAGAGGCACTGCAGATTGCCCCATTTTTTCTTGACACGAGGGGGTTTGGGTAACTACAGTAGGCGCGTCAAATTACGAACTAGTCCGCCAATTGGCTATCCACTGAAGCCCCTTATCCCACGAGGGCCGTAGGAGATCCAGGGGTCAGCGAAGAACATGCCCCTGGACTTCATCTAGTAATATTCCTCGCCGTATGCGCCGACTGGATTCCGAAGGTCCCGAGAGCTCGACGAGGCGCGCCAGAAGCAGCGCGCCCATATGGAGAAGTGTGACAAGCAGCGCTCTGAGCTCGCCGGCGCGGGGGCCCTAAGACGCGGTGCCCCGCGCCAGTCGCGGGCAGATCTCTGCCGCCTCCTTTCGGGCGTTGCGAAATGGAAGAGGCCATAAACCGGGGTGGATGAGCAGAGGGGCGCCTTTCGTGCACCTTCGGAGCCCTGAAGGGCTTCCTGGGGCCCAGAAGGCGCACGACCGGCCCAGCCGTCCGGCGCTCCCATTGTTTTGCGATGCGTGGACCTCTGGAGGTCTGGACTTGAAGTCGGGCCTGTCCCTCTACAGGAGGAATCTTCAAAAATAGTCAAACAGTAGCCTGGGGGCGATTTTTGTTTGCATTTTTTATTATTGGGGGCATTTTTTACTATTTCCCCACATCCAAAGTGGGGTTCTTGTTTTCTCTGGACACCCCGCGCAGGAACAGGAACACACACACACACCCACTCACACTCACTCACACTCTCTCATCATCAACCTCATCAGCATCATCGATGATGCTCTCTCACATGCTTAGTCACTCACATACTCATCATCATCACTCGCACTCTCTCACACGCTCACGAACATCATCATCATCATCATCGTCATCATCATCATCATCATCATCATCATCATCATCATCATCATCATCGACATCGGCATCATCCTCATTCAAACATCATCATCGCCACCACCACTCACAATCAATCATCATCCTCTTCACCACTCATCTTCACCACCACTCATCATCCTCATCCTCATCATCGTTGAGTAAATTGTGAGGAAGTCTCAGGCGGGAGCCCCCTCCCTATGGGGCCCGCAGATCATGTTGGTAATCCGAGCGGGTCATCGGAAACCTGTAACTGTCGTCACTTTTGGGCTCGTCAAGCCTGAAAATGGAGGAAGTCTCAGGCGGGAGCCTCGTCTGTGAGTGAATTGGGAGGAAGTCTCAGGCGGGAGCTCCCTCCCTATGGGGCCCGCAGATCATGTTGGTAATCCGAGCGGGTCATCGGAACCCTGTAACTGTCGTCACTTTTGGGCTCCTCAAGCCTGAATTTGGAGGAAGTCTCAGGCGGGAGCCTCGTCTGTGAGTGAAATTCTGAGGAAGGCTCAGGCGGGAGCCCCCTCCCTATGGGGCCCGCAGATCATGTTGGTAATCCGAGCGGGTCATCGGAAAACTGTAACTGTCGTCACTTTTGGGCTCGTCAAGCCTGAATTTGGAGGAAGTCTCAGGCGGGAGCCTCGTCTCTGAGTGAATTGTGAGGAAGTCTCAGGCGGGAGCCCCCTCCCTATGGGGCCCGCAGATCATGTTGGTAATCCGAGCGGGTCATCGGAATCCTGTAACTGTCGTCACTTTTGGGCTCCTCAAGCCTGAATATGGAGGAAGTCTCAGGCGGGAGCCTCGTCTGTGAGTGAACTGCGAGGAAGTCTCAGGCGGGAGCCCCCTCCCTATGGGGCCCGCAGATCATGTTGGTAATCCGAGCGGGTCATCCAAAACTTGTAACTGTCGTCAATTTTGGGTTCTCGCGCTGCCAGAACGCAGCTCCCAGGCCACATTTTGGACGCAACAAGGAAGTTTTTGGGCTCCTCAGGCCTGAATTTGGAGGAAGTCTCAGGCGGGAGCCTCGTCTCTGAGTGAATTGCGAGGAGCCAACTGTAGGCCACTTCGTGTTCGTCGTGTTCCCAGAACGCTATTCCCGGCACGCATCCACTGGGACGCACCCCTGTGCGCTTCCTCTGGGTCGTGCCCCCGCACGTATCCACTGGGACGCACCCTTGTGCGCTTCCTCTAGGTCGTGCCCCTGGCACGTATCCACTGGGACGCACCCCTGTGCGCTTCCTCTGGGTCGTGCTCCGGCACGTATCCACTGGGACGCACTCCCGTGCGTTTCCTCTGGGTCGTGCCCCGGCACGTATCCACTGGGACGCACTCCCGTGCGCTTCCTCTGGGTCGTGCCCCCGCACGTATCCACTGGGACGCACTCTTGTGCGCTTCCTCTGGGTCGTGGCCCGGCACGTATCCACTGGGACGCACCCCTGTGCGCTTCCTCTGGGTCGTGCCCCCGCACGTATCCACTGGGACGCACCCTGTGCGTTTCCTCTGGGTCGTGTTCGGCACGTATCCACTGGGACGCACCCCTGTGCGCTTCCTCTGGGTCGTGCCCCCGCACGTATCCACTGGGACGCACTCCTGTGCGTTTCCTCTGGGTCGTGTTCCGGCACGTATCCACTGGGACGCACTCTGTGCGCTTCCTCTGGGTCGTGTTTTGGCACGTATCCACTGGGACGCACTCCACGCACTCTGTGCGCTTCCTCTGGGTCGTGTTCTGGCACGTATCCACTGGGACGCACTCCACGTATCCACTGGGACGCACTCCCGTTCCTCTGGGTCGTGCTCCGGCACGTATCCATTGGGACGCTTCACAGTTCGATCTACATTCGTGCTTTTGAAGCAGGAAACTATGCCCTTTTTTCAATTTTCGTGTTCGGACTCTGGGTTCCGACACGCCCTGGGGTGAGGTGTTCAGGCAGCTTTCGCTTGTGATATCCTCGCAACTCTGATCTCGGAAGTGCCGTGCCCCATGGTGGCCCGGCCACTTTCGCCTGAGACATCCTCGCAACTTTGAGTTCCGAAATGCCCTGAAGTGAAGTGTTCAAGCCACTGCCGCCTGAAACATCCTCGCAACGTTGACCTCGGATATGCCCTGCCACTTAGTGGTCTGGCCGCTTCCGCCTAAGGCATCTTCGAACTCTGACCTCGGAGGTGCCCTACCCCATGGTGTCCGGGCACTTTCGCCTGAGACATCTTGGCAACTCTGGGTTGCGAGATGCCTTGAGCTCAGGTGTTCAGGCCACTTTCACTTTAGACATCCTCGTAACTCTGGGTTCCGATATGCCCTGTGAGAACAATGACGATGACTACAAGCATGACGACGACGACGACGACGCTGATGACGATAACGATGACGACGATGACGTCCTCACAACTCTGGGTTCCGAGACGCCCTGACCTGATCCGAGACATCCTCGAAACTCTGAACTCGGAGGTGCCCTGCCCCACGGTGACCCATGCACTTTCGTTTCAGACATCTTCGCAAATCTGGGTACCGACACGCCCTGGGGTGAGGCGTTCAGGCCGCTTTCGCGTGAGCTATCCTCGCAACTCTGACCTCGGAAGTGCCCTGCCCCATGGTGGCCCGGCCACTTTCACTTGAGACATCCTCGCAACTTTGGGTTCCGAGACGCCCTGAAGTGAAGTGTTCAGGCCACTGGCGCCTGAGACATCCTCGCCACGTTGACTCGGATATGCCCTGCCCCTCAGTGGTCTGGCCGCTTCCGCCTGTGACATCCTCGAGGCTCCGATCTCAGATATGCCCTGAGCCCAGGTGTTCAGGTCAATTACGCGTGAGACATCCTCCGTCCTCGGATCTCGGCGGTGCCCTGCCCCATGGTGGTCGGGCGCTATCGCCCGAGACATCTTGGCAACTCTGGGTTGCGATATGCCTTGAGCTCAGATGTTCAGGCCACTTTCATTTAGATACCCTCGCAACTCTGGGCTCCGATATGCCCTGTGAGGACGATGGCGATGACTACGAATATGACGACGACGCTGATGACGATAACGAAGACGACGGCGATGACGACGATGATGATGGTGATGATGGTGATGATGATGACGACGACGATGACGGCGACGAACGATGACGACGATGACGTCCTCACAACTCTGGGTTCCGAGACGCCCTGACCTGATCCGAGACATCCTCGAAACTCTGAACTCGGAGGTGCCCTGCCCCACGGTGACCCATGCACTTTCGTTTCAGACATCTTCGCAAATCTGGGTACCGACACGCCCTGGGGTGAGGCGTTCAGGCCGCTTTCGCGTGAGCTATCCTCGCAACTCTGACCTCGGAAGTGCCCTGCCCCATGGTGGCCCGGCCACTTTCACCTGAGACATCCTCGCAACTTTGGGTTCCGAGACGCCCTGAAGTGAAGTGTTCAGGCCACTGGCGCCTGAGACATCCTCGCCACGTTGACTCGGATATGCCCTGCCCCTTAGTGGTCTGGCCGCTTCCGCCTGTGACATCCTCGAGGCTCCGATCTCAGATATGCCCTGAGCTCAGGTGTTCAGGTCAATTACGCGTGAGACATCCTCCGTCCTCGGATCTCGGCGGTGCCCTGCCCCATGGTGGCCGGGCGCTATCGCCCGAGACATCTTGGCAACTCTGGGTTGCGATATGCCTTGAGCTCAGATGTTCAGGCCACTTTCATTTAGATACCCTCGCAACTCTGGGCTCCGATATGCCCTGTGAGGACGATGGCGATGACTACGAATATGACGACGCTGATGACGATAACGAAGACGACGGCGATGACGACGATGATGATGGTGATGATGGTGATGATGATGACGACGACGATGACGGCGACGACTACGACGACGATGATGTTGATGACGATGATGATGCTAGTTGCGATGATGAGGATGATGCTGATGATGATGGTGGTGGTGGTGATGTTGATGTAGCCATGATTCCCCACATCCAAAGTGGGGTTCTTGTTTTCTCTGGACACCCCGCGCAGGAACAGGAACACACACACACACCCACTCACACTCACTCACACTCTCTCATCATCAACCTCATCAGCATCATCGATGATGCTCTCTCACATGCTTAGTCACTCACATACTCATCATCATCATCACTCGCACTCTCTCACACGCTCATGAACATCATCATCATCATCATCATCGGCATCGGCATCATCCTCATTCAAACATCATCATCGCCACCACCACTCACAATCATCATCATTCACCACTCATCTTCACCACCACTCATCATCCTCATCCTCATCATCGTTGAGTAAATTGTGAGGAAGTCTCAGGCGGGAGCCCCCTCCCTATGGGGCCCGCAGATCATGTTGGTAATCCGAGCGGGTCATCGGAATCCTGTAACTGTCGTCACTTTTGAGCTCCCCAGGCCTGAAAATGGAGGAAGTCTCAGGCGGGAGCCTCGTCTGTGAGTGAATTGGGAGGAAGTCTC